GTCGGAACACATGGACACCGACGTGATTTTCGGAGAAGGCTGTGAAAGCATTTATTTGTAAATGTTGCCCATATTGTATATAAGTGAACAACATGCAATCAACGCAGGGGGATGGACTTCGCCGCTTGATTTCATTGTCGGTGCGGTGCTGGAAAGACAACCTCAGGAACCAGTTTTTGAAATTCCTGCTGACCATCCCACTTCAAGTACTTTTTTTTCTGCGTGCCTGCGCAGAGCTTTCTACGAAGAACCCTCATGTACGGGACTCTGCTTTGCGATTCGAGTCTGCTGACCACAAGTACTTCTATAAAGAACACCTTGTTGGCTGCAGTGTAACTTGCCTCGCATTCATTTGTTTTTTGTTACTGTATAAGATTTTTATGTGTGTTGTTTAGTGCGCAAGGTAACGACACTTATACACGAGTTCTGTACACCTTTTGATTCCACATCAGCTTTATCGACTATGAAAAATGGCATCAACTGGCCGAGAGCAGAGTATGTTTCTGCTGATGCCAATTTTCCTAGCATCGCAAGCATGCTGATGGGTATGGATTTTTTTTACCAGGCAGATTTGGTAGCAGCTTTGAAAGCTGAAGAGCCAGATGTTCATGAAATCTGCAAGCTCTTTGCTAAGAGCCGCGAGAGCATAGACGGCTTTCATGAGATCCTGACCCATTTCGTGCTCTACGACAACGAGATATTAGAACTCTGGAACAAAAGGCGAGACGAGGCTGCCAATTCCGGAACTTGGATGCATGCAATGCTAGAATGTGTATTCAATGGGTATCTCGTGCAGCCTGGCAGTATGTCCACGGAATTGTACATGGCGGTGAATGTCATTTCAGAAACCAGTGATGTTCAAGCACACAGGACTGAGTGGTGTATTTACGCTGAAGCAGAAGATTTAGCAGGGTCTATTGATTTGGTGCTTAAGAAAACTGACAGCGCTGAGTTTGTGCTAGTGGACTGGAAGCGCAGTGAGAAGCTAGACCAAAAATATAACGGTTACGGAAAAGTGATGAAGCACCCACTGCACGGCATCGAAGACTGTCAGGGTCAGCATTACAGGCTGCAGCTGAACATTTATAAGTGGATTTTGCAGAAGTATTACGACCTCGTGATTTCAGAGATGTATGTTGTGTGTGTGCATCCAGTGTATGACCCCGATGGGTTCGTGGACGTTGTCCCCGACATGACTGAACACGTGGAAGAGCTCATGCAATTCAGACGCACGCAGATTTTAGCAAAAAATATGGAGGCTCAGAAACTTGGTGTGAAGCATGCGTTGGACGAAGAAGCAGCTGGGATGCCTCCGGCAAGACCATCGACAGACGCTGCGGATGTAGAGAGCATGATGATCGCCTCTACTACATCATTCAAAGTTCAAGACGAAGAAGATGCAAATGCTTTCGAGAAAAGTTTCAAGCATGATCTGGAAGGTCTACTTGAAGAAATGGACGCTGAAATACCAGCAGCAGCTAAAAAAAGAAGACTTGTCCCAGGCGCTGCAACTCATGCTCAGGATTTCAAAGATTTTTTCGCAAAGTCTGACAATCAAATTGCAAGTGTGCTTCACACATATGAGTCGGATTTACTTGCGAAGCCAGACGTCATTCTGCTGAAAACCAGAACCCTTTTAAGTCGAGTCAAGCGAGATTTCCCGGAGATCAGCCTTGACCTTCAGCGGCTTCTTGTGGTAGCTGGATACATTTCCGAGGGGCATATCGGGCCCACGGTCATGGTAGCAGATGCAGCGGCAATATTCTGGATGGTGGAAGGTGAACGCCATGTTCGCGTGCACAACGGTTTTCTGTACATATATGACGCCGATGGTTCTTTCTTGACTTTCAAAGGCATTCCTCCCGAAGCGGTATTGAGTAGAGTCAAGAGTTTTTTCACAATTCTTGAAGGAATATTTAAACGAATGAAGCCCAGTGTACTTCGAGACAACGTGTCTGTGGCCAAAGCTATCGTTATTGACTCACAAAATTTTCCGGACGAAGACTGCTTCTTTCATTCTTGTCGGGCTGCAACCAGAGAAACGTCAGCAGTACAGTCTGATGAGATCCGTCTTGACGCTGAAGGTAACGAGTACAGTGTAGCGGACGACAAGAAGAAACACCAATCCTGGAATCTTGCACTTGCAGATCTTTGCCGGAAAATTTCAAACATTCTGCGGCGAGAGTTGATGACGACCCGGATGATAGCTCTTCTTGTGGAGTGGTGCGAAACTGATGACATGCGTCAGCCAGCGATTTGCTACGACGACATCTGTTTCCTATATGACCTTCCCGATGCAAGGAGTCCCATCACCGTTATACGCAAAAGCATTCTCAACAATTGCTATGTACGCGTACCACATCCTCTTCTGGATCCTGTATGTGCAGCAAATGAAGCGAGATTGAAGAAATTCTACGAGCAGACTTTCTGGTGCAACCTCAATGTATTCAGATGCTTTCAGTCTGCTATAGCTTTGGCCAAACGAGGCTTAAACATAGATCGTTGTTTCATTGGAATATCGCCAGGTGGAGTTGGCCAGAGTTTATATTCTTTGCACCTTGCAGAGATGTATAAACAAAATCATGCTTTCTTCGATCCTCGCGTGTGGGTCCTAGACGAAGAACTACGCAAGCAAGTGGAAAGCTTCGCCAACTGCTTTATTCTTACAGGTCAGGAAGCGCCTGAAAGCAACAAAAAAATACAAACTGACTTGTACAAGAAATTCATTTCTGGCGACGGGATCATGGGCCGCAAGCCATATGGTTATTCTACACGCATGTTTCGAGTCATTGGGTGGACAAGACTAGAAGTGAATCGCATGATTGCGTTCCAGGGCGTCACATTGAAGAATCTACATTCAATTTTTAGACGAGCTCTTGTATGGAAAGGCAAGGCGCGATTCGTGCATCCCAAGTTTCTCTTGCAATATCCAGATCATGAACTTGATGGAATTTTTGCCGCTGATCCAAGTCTCGCGCACTTTTTCACCCAGACACAAGCTTCGTGCGCTGGCCTGAAGCTACAGTGGGCTTTCGAGGAGATATACAACAAAGACATGTGTTATGAAGAAATAGAGGCGTACTGCAATGGTGGCGACCAGTACCTGACAGAAGACATTATCAGACAAGCTTGCAGCATACCAATTCGAAATCGTCAACATGAGCCGGACGATGGATTGCAAGCAGTACTAGCTGCAGAAGAAGAAAGCCAAAAAGATTTGGAAAAGCAAGTCAATGAATGGGAGAATCTTCGTGAGCTCTTCATGGTCAAGCTATTGGACAACAACTCAGACAGCATGACTTTCTACGCTTTCAAGAACATGACGCTATCTGGAAACGGTCCCAACTTGTCAAGAGACAAAATCTGGGACGAATTAGAGGACCGTGGCCTCGTTCGACGAAGTATTTCAAAAGGCAAAACAACAAAGACCAAGCCTGGCAGCTTTATACCCAAAATGTCTTTCTCAAGGACACTTCAGGAGATATGCGGTCGAGAAGATATGGAAGAAGAACGCATGGTCTTCGAGGAGCAGCACGATCTGCAGCGGCTTCGACAGTATTCATTCGGTCATACTGAAAGAAAAGCTAATATTCAAACACTTCTGCAGTACTATAGGCAAGCTAGAAAAGGCGTCGAAAGCAAACAAGGCAGAAGATCTTACAAGCAGATGGCCTTTCTTCAAAGCTGCCAAAATGCTCAAGGAAAATTAGAAGCACATGAACGTGCTATTGAGGCAGCGCTTGCAGGAAGACGCATAACAGGCAAGAACAGCGTTCAGTTGGATGCGCCAGAGTCTTCTGACGCATGTACAGTGACAAAACAAATCAAGTATTTCTATTCGCCGGAAGCAACGTACAGTGTTCATGCTCGTCGATACGCTGGCAGCGGCAGTGCGCAGTCTATGTCCCGAAGACTGCAACTGCATGTTTTGGATAACCACACATGTGACCTCGACATTCAGAATTGTAGTCTGACGCTCTTACATCAACTTATTGTCAAGCTTGATCCCAAACCAGCCATGCCGGACGAGCTAGCGGCCCTACTGCACAGTCTCGCTCACAACAGATCTGGTTTTATATCAAAGATGGACACATCAATGGTTGATGGGAAGAAGATTATCAGTGAAGTTCTTCATGGTGGTAGTTTGCCTGATGCATTGCAACACAATGCAGACGTGTTGCGCCTTCGCAAGTTGTCTATTTACCTGAGATGGGTGGCGTGCAATCTCTTGTACGATGATTATATCAGTTTGAAGGACAACAAAGCGAAGCCGTTTCCTGAGGCGAGCATATTTTCTTTGATGTGGCAGTCTATCGAGAATCGCATATTGCATGTTTGGACTGAGCACATTCTTCAGTCAGCAAGCCCACCTGCTCATTTGTCTTTGCATTTCGACGGTGTCCGGGTTTCAGACAAACATATTCAAGATATTGGCCATTACACTGAGCTGTGCGAGAAGAACATCAAAGAAAGAACTTCTTTTGAAGTGAAGATCGTTCAAAAGAAGCTGCATCATTTTATTTCTCTGGCAACGCAAAAAGCTTCGGAAGTCAGTACAGTTGATGCTTTGCCAGATACACTTACACTCCCTGGAAACTGCGTTCCCTGTGCGTTGTGGCACATGGCGCCGATATCGAGAAATTGTATTATGTCGTCAGTAAACAATTCTCAGCTGCAGGAGAACATTGTCGCAATGAAAGCTAAAGCAAGACCATATCGGTCTTCCCAGAAATTGTACAAAGCGGATCTTATTTGCTGCGTGGGTTTGCCGGAAGATTCTGTCAAGTCATTCATTCTACATTACGAAGGAACTGGATCTCCGCATTGCCACTATACACGATTTTCGAGAAGCTTGTGCTTCTGCAGTGGACCGATCAACTTTCGTAAGCTTCTGGCGGAAAAAAGTAAAAGACACTTTCTCAGAGTGGTCTGCAGTACTACTGGATCTCGTTGCCGGCGCTGAGGCAGGCGCTGCGGATTCAGATGCATCAGAAGACAGCATGCTGCCTTTGCCAGCCCGAGTTAGGTATCAGTTCGACTCTGATGGTTGCCCATATGTCACAGACAACGTATTGACAACGCTGCAAAAAGAAGTGGAGCTAGTTCTTCAGAGCCCCTTGACTACTACTCAAAGATCAGACGGAAAAAGACTTTGCCCGTTTTGTCCTTTTCGTGGCTTCAAGCAGATGAAGCAATTGCGTGTTCATCTCGCAAAACATCATACCAAGAAGACACAATTTGTGGCAAGCGGCACCAAGCAAGTGAAAGTGATTATGGCTCTGTACGATGATGCTGCATCTTCTCAGTCGGAATGCTCGGCACTCTTGCGAAGAAGCGCTGAAATTATGCGGCGCACTGTGGTGCCTCCTTTGCCAGCGAACGTGAACGATGTGGATCGGCGCATTCGTTTAGTTTACGACGCGTCTGGCCCAACGTTCATGAACTTGACCGCTGTCGGAAATTCCGTGCATGTTCGGCGTGCTCGCAATGTCTACTACACGCATTCCTTTGCAGACTTATTACTGCGAGAAATGATTCTCAGCCACGCGCAGGTTGCTTGGATTGCACTAGTTTTTTTTTTAATGTTGATTCTGTGCGCTTGCTAAGATTCGAACTATATGGTCACGATGCCATATGGCTGCGCAGACATCTGGCAATCAACTGTCCTCTATGCTACCTTCACATGTTTCTCACTGGATGCCTATGCTAGAGGACATCACTAATTCGCCATCATACAAGAAAAAAATGGACATGATGACCGCCAGTTTGGAGCAAAACGATGAGTGGCGCTACATCAGCATGGACGCTACATTTAAAGTTTGCCTGAAAATCCTTGGTCAGGAAAGTTACAGAGCTTCAGCAAATGTCAGAAACGATGCGCCGTTCCCGGACGATGTGGCGTGGCGAAGATTATTAACGATACGAGGAAGGTCAGGCGCAACATTGCTTCTGCATCCATTGCCGTCGGAGTCTTCAGAACACCTAGTTGAAGCATTGAAGGAGAATTTTACACAGTCTCAACTGTTGTCTATTATGTACATAGCCACAGACAGTCCGTCTGCGAAATTTTTTAAGCAAGCCAAGAAGGCTTGCCCGCAGTTGCAGGCCATGACTCTAGATCCCATACACTTAGCAATAGTTTACGAATATGGGTTCTGGAATAAAAAGTCTGCCGGTTCCAAAACGCTGCGATTATTTTAAAGAAGATGTCGGCCGTCGATCCTAACATCACAGCTGATTACTGGCTATCTTTTTATGATGGCGATATGTCAAGGCCACTGAACGCAGCCGAATCAAAATATCGTGAAATGATATTGTCGCAATCCATGCATGTCACGGAAGCTGACAAGCTTTTACGCATAGACGCTGAAAAGCCGTTCTATGATAGACTTGAATTCATTAAATGCATCGCAGCCCTGTGCAAGCGATTCGAGCACGAAGTGCTTCGGAAAGCTCCCGGGCCAAACAAAGAGATTTACAAGATATTGTGGGCCGCATGCGCGCCAGACCGGCTAGAATGGCTTTATAATAACATTCGCTTACGCCATGTTTTGCCGCGCGAACATTTGCGTCTCCTTCCAAGCGGAACTGCAAGCAATGAAGCGCTACACGCGGAGATTAATTCGTGGTCCAGGACCACAAATTCTTTACATTGCTCAGCTTTAAGCCTAAAGTTGCGATATTATCTGTACATCAAGAGACTGTCTCACTATTTAGCATCTTGTTTTCCGTTGTCTCACATTACTACGGAAACCGTTCTTCTTGCTCGGTCTTTACATGTTTCACTTTGGTCAGATGATGAATGGAAAGCATGGTGTTCTGACCAAGATTCAGAGAGTTGTCGCAAGAAAGCTTGTCTTCCTCTTGTTGATGCCTTCACGCATGAAAAGTCTTTAGTACAAGCGTGGTTGTTTAAGAAGCCTTCTGCAAAGCGGAAGAATTCTGTGAATCAAAGAAAACTGACGCCGCTGTCTGTTCCACGAAAGCACACGATGACTACTTCTGGCGTGAAACGCCAGAAGCAGTGATGTCGTCAGTCGCTAAGCGAGCACGGCTCTCGTAAAATTTTATTCTGCAACTGCTTCTGAACAAAAAGTAAAGCAAACCAATTGTTATGCTCTCCGCCAGCATAATAACACAAAAATATTTGATGATGCTGCGTTTGTGTTTGAGGTTAAATTAGTGTTAGGTTTTACTTGGTATATTTTTATATTTTAATTTTGCGATCGCGGTATATGCATTCGTTGTCATGTGATTAGCCTGTTCGTGAAAACTTAAGTAATATAACATTTTTGTGTGTATGCGTGTCTGCACATTCATGATATCAGGCAATAAACATTTCGCAGTCAGCTCTCACGTAGGTCTTGATGATGAAAGGATGTAGTTTTACAAGAGATTAAAAAACATCAATGTAAGACATAGTCGACTGATCCAGGCCATCAACGTGCGTCTGGAGTGGTGTCACCATAAAGCTTTAATATTCAGCTGCATCTATGCGAGTTGCATGCACCTGGTTGTTGCCTGCTATCAATCCTGCGCAAGCTGTTTCTGCTCATCACTTTAGCGGCGAGCTAGTCTCATCACTCTGCATAGTTTTTGTCAGCTATGCGTTGCCCGGTTTGCCGTGAGGAAGCTCTGATTTATGTACGCTTCTGAGCTTTTTTAACGTTTGTTGCAGCGCTGCTTCTGTGCAGACGCCGGAAACCTTCCTTTTTTGGGAGGTTCGTGTGTTCGGAGCACGTGGCGACGAAGAGTGTCCTATTTGTTTCGAGGCGGACTGTATAATAAATAAATACAGTTTAAGGAGGCAGACTGTATAATAAATAAAGACAGTTTAAGGAGTCTGAATTTGCGGAAGGTCAAGGAAGAGCTGACCGCGCTGTATCCGTGCGGTCACTCCTACTGCGGGCGCTGCGTCGCCCAGCTCGAGGTGCCTTTTGACTTCATGTTGACGCATAGCTTCTATAATTATATTAGTTCTTGAAATTGTTTATATTAATTTTCGAAAACTGTATCACTGTATTTTCCTTACTACACCTGACCTCGTATAAACAATTAATGTTGTGTCTTACTAAAGATAACAATGGTTTATCCTAAATATAAATTCGGCAGGGCCACGACGCAACTGGCTACGACCTGAGGTTCTCATCAGTGGAATTACATGTCAGCATGACAGTGTCTCGACAAGGTCATCAAGCCGATCCTGCAGACGCGCAAGACGCCGGACAGCCTAATGCAAATGCAAAATAACACATTTGACTTTTACAGCTTTACATTATGTTGTCGAGCCTTGTCGTTTATGCTGCTCAGATTAACGAACTGCTGATGGAGGACGAGGTCGTGCTCTTAGACATGATCATGTATTCTTATTTTGCATGTAATGATGCTAAGCTTCCAGCAGGTTTGGATCGATACCGGCCGGAAACTCAGACTTAGTTGTTCTTGTAGCTTCAGCTGAATAAAAAATATTTTCAGATCAGGTGCGCCTCCGAACTTTGATGACTTCGGCACATTCATGGAAGCCGAGGCAGATTATTTTTGAGATACTCGTCTTGTGCGCTCGATGAAAGATGTTTTGTTTTTTTTGTTTTTGTCTTGCAATTTAGGCCCTTCAATTCTGGATCGACGACCAGGCCGAGCATCTTTTTTTTTCACACATCTAATGTAAGCTAAGTAAACTTCATGTTGTTGCATTGTTGCAGGCGTGCAGAAATTTTAGTTGCAAACGGACTTCGACAAAGATCTTAAGCAATAGCATTGTTAGCATCATCTGCTTCAAGCATTATGTGTTAAGGAGTCAAGAGAATTTGCTTATTCTTTATTCGCAAATGTTCTACGTCAAGTGTAATCAGGTGCCGGGCGACAACGGTCAGATTCTTAGATTCGCGTCTACTTTGCGTGTAATTGCGTCTAGTATTGTTTCGACGAGGCTTCTTGATCGCCGACGACCAGAGCCTCCCTCCTGCTGAAGAACAGGCACCAGCATATATAGACCTTGCTTAAGACTTCGTTCTTCTTTTTTCTTGTAAATCATATTATTCATACGGCGATGCTAGTTAAAATGATAATACATGGCGGCAATTGTTTAAAATGTATGACAAATTTAAGTACTTAACTTCAAGTGTTATTTAAATGTAAACACACAGATGTACACGTGCAAACTATGTGATCTTGACATTGTCGTGTTTTTTATTTAATTATAGCGGATGCATTCTCTTAGTTTTATAGATCTTGCAGACTCTTGCTTGGCAGGTGGAAGAGATCGTCCGGACCTGACTTTTGCTTAATCGATATGATGTTGTTGGCTATTAATTTTTTTTTAGGCTGTTGGCGTCCCATTCCTATGGCTCGGCCAGGGGCTTAAACTTACACCTAAAGATTTAGGCTGTTTTTGTTCAACACTCAGGTGTTTGGGTGGAATGGGATCGCGAGTTCCTCATCACGCAGAACGAGGCTTTAACTTCTTAAGTTAAGATTCATTTTATTCGAATCGCCTTTTCAGGTGGTGCTGCTAATCGCCGGCACTGAGCAGTTCTGCGTGTTTGGTTCCTACGCTGTGGCGCCGCCGGCTCCACCGGGCTTCATTGCTCGGTGGAACCGGACGCGCAATCAGCATAGAAGGCGCTGGGTCCTCGACATTGCGTGATCTAAATCTTACATTTTTTGGTTTGTATATGTTTTACAGGACAGTCATATATTCACATATTTTCTTCCGATGCTTTGTATATGCTGGACCCAGTGCAAGTGAGCAGCGCCTCTGCGACATCGAGCCTTCATTTGCTTCAAACAACAAATATTATTATCTTCGTGACGCCGTTAGAATATTAAGTTATTTTGTTATATATTAAATATATTTCTGCAAACGTCATCTACAGAGACCCGAAACACGAAGTTTCAGCAGCTTCAGCTTGTGTAGGCTCCTGGGTGTCGGATATATTTCTGCAAACATGATCTACAGAGACCCGAAACACCAAGCTTCCACAATCTTCAGCCTGTGCAGGCTCTTAGGTGTGGGATTCCGGTTAAGAGTTTGTTATGAGCTGATGAATGTTTATTTTGCAAACATGATCTACAGGGACCGGCAAGACCAAGCCCCCACAAGCTTCAGCCTGTGCAGGGTCCTAAGTGTGGAGTTCTGCTTTCAGGTTTTTCTGAGCCGATGAATGTTTATTTTGTTTTGTGTGATTAAATATCAAATCGCGATCAATGCACCATGAATTTTGACAACTAAGTGAACTCTAGGGCCGATGTATTGATCAATTTTTGATATGTATCGAATTATATGTTGATCGTAGATCCTGCTGCGGACTTATGACAACATCTATTACCAAATGAGTTGAAGATTTTCGGAAAGCTGAGAATAAATGCTTTTTTTTGAAAAAATTTAAAATAAACTAAGAAAATCACCATTAAAATTTTTTTCGTGGTTTTTATAGTGAAGATTTACAGAAAGCCCAGATGCAACAAAGTACATAGAGGTCCCTATCTCGTCTATACACAAGCGTAAGTCATATATGTTCATATGCAGTTAGAGACGCCGCCCTCGCCAGTCCCCGTGATGGCGTAGATGACCTTTTGCGGGGCGGAGCTGGGCGAAGAATCTGTG